ATCCTTAAAAGCGAGTATTTGATAGGACCTTTACCTTTCTTTCTAATGCACGATACAAATCTCTTTTTAATTTGATTTACTGCACATTATTTATCTTCCCAGTCATAACCACTTTTTCATTTGACCTAAACCACTTTAACTATCACAAAATTCATAAATCAACGAGATATTTTACTAGACCAACACCACCTTATTTCTTTTCGAATAATAACTGCTATTTCACTGAACCTACTCTGTTTGAATTAGTAACCAGTAGCCATTTCAGAATAACTAACTGTTCTTCAATTATTATTCAGGTACGTTATTGAATATTTTTTTTTCGGAGAATTACCTTATGTGTAACACATTTCCTTTTCACCGACTGTCACTTATTTCCAATAAACTGGACAATCAGCGATCGAACATAGGATATATAATGAGAATGTAAACGGTCTGTTGTGCATTTCAATTTATTTTTAACTTTATGTCTTTCATAATGCTTTATACGAATGATAAATAAAACAGTCTTATGAAGGAAAACGTATCATTGGACAGTCTTATGAAGGAAAACGTATCATTGGACAGCATTATGAAGGAAAACGTATCATTGGACAGCATTATGAAGGAAACGTATCATTGGACAACATTATGCAGTTATCTGCAAACAACATTCATCATTTTATTTGTTTTTCGCTGCGAGTAAATCTTCAAAGAAACAAATATAATTTTATTCAGAAATGCATATAATAAATATTTACAAGCCATAATGAAAGCAATCAGGGAATCAAAAATATAACATAAAGCAGATATGAATGGACACATTATAACAAGCAAATATAAGTAGAAACATAGAAGTCAATACCCCTGACATAAATATTTTATAAAGAAAAACCCAGAGTATCAAATCTGTAAAGTGTTTGTGAAGAAAGTTAAATAAAACATTTTGTTTTAAAACATAACACAACTTCCCCCTTTGGGACCTCTTTATAAATTATTGAATCGTTAAACAAGAACATTGCATATTTACTTCTTCGTTTGTTGTGTATACCATTACCTAGAAAAACTAAAAATGATGTTTATAAAAGACAATCTTCATCATATGCTATTGCAATAATACAATTTTTACTTTAGACAGGTATTTACAGAAAAAGACAGTGAAGTATTCAGTGTTTGCAAGTTATGAAATCAGTACAATGTAAAGACATATTGCACGCTTATAATGAGAAAAGAAACTTGATATGTGCTTAGAATTAACCAACAATAAATTTTATAGAATGTTATATGTCGTCTGCTTAACTGTCGACATTACATAATCCAGAACAGTAGATTAATACAAGGACAATTTACTTGTCATGGTTTTTAATGTAATTGGTAAAGGTGACAGCACAAATCACAACGTTTATATAAATAAGCTGCATGTGTTAATCAGCAAAGAACATAATTTGACCAATCTTCTATAATCGCTGGATATATCCTGCTCCAAGATATATGAAAATACCATAATTTTTATATCATCCATAATTTTATCTGCAAATTATTATAATGAAATATCCACAATTTGTTTATTGAGTTGACACCTTGCCCCGCTGCCCTATAGACCTTGCGAACTGTGCGATGCATTTTGTGCAGACAATGTGCAATATGTATCTGCCTTAACAAGTATATTCAAGAAAAAAAAATAAGATTAATTTATTTGAAGCAATTTGCAAATAATTGTCGGTTCGCATTTTTTTCAAAGTCGGTATTGCTAATTTTTTTCTTTAGCAAACCCAGGGCTATTTCGTAAACAGTCTCGTTACATATTATAAATATGTGGGAACCAGTTGAATAATGAAATGTGATATGCTTCTAATTACTCAAAGTTATTGGAATAGGTGCACTAGATGCACAGAAATTAAGCATTTATCCACTCAGAAAACTAGTTGGACTGAAGTGAATCATTTTATTTATTGCGGACACGTAGATTTAATTTAATTTGTATTCCTCACTCCGTCCAAAAACTCAGTTTTAACCCTTATTGCGACAGGGTAAGCTCTTTTTAGATCTTAACCATGTACAACGGTGTTCTTTTCTCAACAATACACCGAGATCTTACAGTTTTAACACTATCACTTTGGAGAACCACACACTTGTCAGAAAACCCTACGTTGTGGTATAATATATTATTGTTTACACTCAATGTTGTTTTTCGGGGCGCGGGTGTTAAGGAAACTCGATTTACGCAAATGTAAATGTGAACCAATCATTTCTACTATATTTACATACGTTATCCAGGTTTTTGACAGGACACAAATTGTTTTATAGCGAAACATAGACAATAAATGCACCTCCTCACTACACTTTAACACCCTCAAATTAATTATGGGTTATCTATAAATATGCTTATGTGCCAATATGACCTTGACACCGTAATGTTGACATCATTATCCACCTTTGTACAATTATAGATGCCATTGCAACGTTGACACAAAATTTGGCATCGTAATACCCTACCTGTGTATATTTGTAACATCGCCACCGCAATTTTAACATCGTGATAACCCACCTGGTTTAAATGTTGTATTGTCTGCCAGATGTTACGTCCCTGTTCGGATTCCCGCCTTATTTTGCTTGTCACTGGCGATTTGTCTTTGATCAGAATATTTTCACCACTATCCATTGAGAGGGCTACATAGTCATATCATATCATTTATTCAATGTTTGATTCTAAGTTTGGCAAGGGACTATAGTTTTAAGAATGTAGCATACGATAAAATTCGTCTGATAATGTATACACTTTAAGAATTTTATTAAGCATGTCAGATTGGCAGTTGTACATCACTTTATCAGTCGGTCAGGCATTCACCACTTTGCCAGATTATCAAATAAACACCATTTTGCCAGACGGTCGATTTTTCGCCAGATCCAATATCATCCATGTCTATCAACATAGAGGTTATTTCTTCCCATGCAGTGGTTATGTACGCGGGATGCTAATGTTCTTGCTGTTCTGATTGTCGTCCTTGTCATTCAGCTGGCGCTTAGAGTGTTCTTGTAGCTGATTGGTGGCGGCACAAACCAATCATTCTCGTACGTCTCTATATTAGTGTTGCTATAGTCCAAGATGTATGTGCATTTATTTTTGCCGAATGCCTCACGCTTCTCCTCCTACAGTACCTGTAACTATTCCCATCTCTCTCCGTGTCCGTATCCCTGTCTCTGTTGTATTCATTATAAAATATGGGATTCTACACTTCGTCCATCTTAAACTCTCCTGGAGCAGGTCTAATGGAAACGACACCAGAATCTGGAATCATATAAAGTCTAATGTCTGCAAACATAAGCACTCTTATAAGGTCGGTAAAAATAAAGCGATAATGGCAAGGCCACAAGAATGGTTGACGTAATGATTTGCTGATATATTAGTAGCGTAGAGTACTATTCCAGTCATGGAGATTGTCAATTTCAATATATATATATATATATATATATATATATATATATATATATATATATATATATATATATATATATATGTTTAAGGGATAAATTTAATTAATTTAATTATGTGATTAATATTCTGGAATATGCATAATATGGCAAACAACAGAAATGTAAGTGTTTCTATTTTGGTCTGATTCTATTGTGAATCATATTTAATTTGTATTATGTATTTGACCTTTATCCATACCTGACTAATATCTTTTGTATAAGCAATATATTGCTTAGCTAATTATTGTCTATCATTGTAGATTTTATATTAACATCATTATTACTTGGAAGTAAACATGTATATATGGCGTTTTGGCCTTGGGGGTTTCAAGAAGGGACTTTACTTCTTGCTTAAGTATTTAATGAAAAATTTTATTTAGATGACAGAGTATTTCCAGAAAATGATAATTGATACATAGGTCAGATAGATAGGTATATAAATTTGTTTAATTCAGAATTACTCATTCCATATCTTAACGGATGTCTCAGTGGAATCAATTGATTGTATGTATCTGTTAATATTTTTGAAATATCAATTATTCTTTGAAATTACAAAGTGCTTATTAATAATACTTTAGGATTAAATCAATATTTTGGAACTATTGTGAAGAGATATTATGGATTATATCATTTTGATCCATCAAGACTGTTCAACACTTTTCCATGCTATTTTTACATCTGCACTCTTAAGACTGGAATTCGATCGAAACGCTACTGGAATTCATTCTGAATACAGTATACTTTTTGCTAGTGATAGACCTTTTAAGACCATTTAGATTTATTTCACAATACTGTAATTTAATTTAAAATTTTTATATTGTATTCTAGAGGGAATTAAATTATTTGTTGATTTTTGCAAAATATATTCGGTTTTGCTCTTTTCTGAGTCTTAGGTTAAGACCATATCGGCGTGACACTATTGATTTCTATAATCGCAACATGTTTCAGTATATTAACCACATCGTTTTATTTCTAAATAAAACAGTGGCAAATGTCTGCAACACTCTCAAGCAATATTCAAAAGTAAAGAACAAGTACTTGCATTGTAAACTTATAATGACACTTTTGATGCAGAAGCTTTCACCTATGTATCTTTTTGCGTCATAATATGTTACTTGTATATGAAATGGGTTCATTACAAACATTAAATAAATTGCTAAACCAAGGGAATATTGTATCAACGTTGTTACAGGTTAACGTTGATATTCAGCTGCGTCATGATCTGTCGCAGTGTGTGCATGAGTGTGTTCGAATGCTTCCATTTCATAGATAACTTGGTATATTATGGGACAGAAGCTAGGTCAACCTCATAGGAAAGTGAATGATTGGAAACAAGAGACTGTTCTATCTGGGGTAGCATTGGATACAAATGTTTTCAATGGATCAATTTGGTCATTATGACTGAGAATTTATGAATGAGTAAATTGTTACTTAATCACTCACATAGTTAACATAAAGTCATTTTGGACCTCTTTACTTTTAGATTGATTCGCTACAAATTGCACATCGATAAACATCAAAGCATGATCAATTAATCTTCTAACAAATCCGCTACCGTGTCCTGGTGGTAAGAGCGTCCACCTCGGATGTGTAGGATCGTGGGTTCGATCCCCGTTCGAGCAATACCAAAGAGTTACAAAGATGGCACTGACAACTGTCTTGCTTGGCGATCAGCATTAAGAGATAAGTTTCAGTACTGGTCGGCCTGGTGTCAGGATAATGTGAATGGGTGGGACATCATGCTACATGTCTGCGGCATGATGCCCCAGTGCTAGACATCACTACAAACTGCCACACTGCAGACATCGCAGCTATATGCCTGAATAATTATTAAAGCTATGATAAAAGGCATAATCAAATCACATCTTTTAATAAAGGATATGATACCTGTCAAAAAAGTATAACTATATTTATACTTGTTAAAACGTCTGATGCATCCGGATCAACACGTACACTTAGCTGAACAGGGTAGAAAATACCACAAATACTAGAGCAGTAGTCCCAAAGGCTTGGGTCGCTACAAACATAGCTGAAGTCGTTGATGATTTCACTCAATGATCTTGACTTTATAAATATTATTTAATGGAATAATGGTGAAGACACTTTATAAACGTAATTTGTTTTGGATAGAGAGACTGATATTCAGCAGTGATATGTATTCTCTTCAGTACGATGCCATTTGAACGCAATTTTCTACAAGTTTGGAGAATGAAACGAGAACCAAACATGGAAAAGCTACCCATGGCACATCATCAGCATAATTGCGTTTTTCAAATTACATTTTGTTTTCTTCCTCGTGATGAGAAAGGATTAATACAATATTCCGGCCATTATATAGAAAAACAAAAATAACCTTGAAAAACTGTAGCGAAATAATGAAAGATATTACTTTTTGCTTGGTTCAGAAAATTATTTTTTATTTCATTATTGTCATATATTTATAGTTTTGTAATTTTTTTGTCACACGGGAGTGGTATGCAAGACAGTTTCAAAATATGCGTACATGTAATTTGTTCATTTTAGGAGCACATTATCTCCCCAACACAAAAATTCCTCCCCGAAGAAATTCTTTTCTATCCTACATTATTTAGCATTTATTTATTAGGTGTTCTCTGCTTTCAAATGGGCCAAAGTGGCTGAGAACTAACTGAGAAAGAATAGTAGATTTGTTGAAACTAATCGATTTGTTTACTTTTAACAGCTGTTCTATTGATTGCAAATGAGATTGGCATCTAATAAATTGGCAGTTCAGCCCGATATTGAACAATCCATGTTTAATGCTATACGATTTGTCAAAGCAATGGTTTATTGTAAGAAGACAAATCATTTGTATTTTCACACTTTTCTTATTGAAAATGAAACGCAAACTAAATTGAAGAAGTTCTGAGCTCTGTTCAAGTGTAATCATTAGCAACAGGAATTCGTACTTCCATCAATCAGTAATGCCCAAAATACATTTTTTACATACATATTTGGGTCGAACTATTTCTCTTTGGCATATCTTATACATTTCTTCAACTTTCTATCTTTATTTCACACCATATACTGTGAAGGCTTGTATTTTCTATTTTAAAGTTAATGTCAAGGCAAGTTTTGCAGTATCTCATGCAAGGTGTTAAATAAATGTTAATTGCTTTAAAATCTTTTGATTAAACAACATTGTATTAACATTGCATTAAACTCGACTACTCTAACGCATCTGGGTTCTTTCCAAAAAAAAAAACATAAATAAAAATGATCCAAAGATGAGATAATTGTACAAAAATTCAATCCCTTTTCCAGAAAACAAGGAGTACAGCAAATTTTTTATCTTTTCTTAATTCGAAGTCACCTTCCAGTACTAAATCAAGAGGTACGCAATGAATATGTTAATAAATAATATGTTTGTATTAGTTAAGGGGTAATAGAAAAATCACGCTCATCATCTTTATCGTCCTAACCACAAGTACATATCGGAGAGTTAACTGAATTCACGCTGTATAGGTCGGATTTGAAAGGAATATTTGAGCATCTAAGTTTAGTATGTTGGCTGTTACGGTGACGCTTGATAATTTCATAATACGGCCTTGGTACGTCAGTTGACTTTGATAAATGTTTCGCAAAGATTGAACGCTTAGGATCCTTCTGGTGTCTTCATAAGCTTCTAAAAGACCCATGTTATACGGTAGAAATACGTATGCAATGAAATGTCTCATATCTCGTGTACGGAAGAATAGTAAGGTACTCGAGTATTTGTAATAAAATACAACATGTATATTTTGTTATTTTTCCTCCCATTTGCAAGAGTTTACAACACGTTTCTCCATAAACAGACTCTCTAGAGCAGGAGAACAAATAAGCTGCTTTCCCTTATCCGTCCGAATCTTCAGTAGATAAGTAATTCTATAATGGGAAACATATTCTAGAACTTAACGAATGAATGGTAAATATATATATATATATATATATATATATATATATATATATATATATATATATATATATATATATATATATATATATATATATATATATATATAGATGCAATAAACTGACGACGAACAGTACGAAACTAGTAACTAACTAGCCTAAGCGCTTTCGACTCTTAATGAGTCTTTTTCAAAGGCAAATACAAAACATAGTTACGACAAACAAATAAACAAATAAAATGTGTTTATTTGTTTGTCGTAACTATGTTTTGTATTTGCCTTTGAAAAAGACTCATTAAGAGTCGAAAGCGCTTAGGCTAGTTAGTTACTAGTTTCGTACTGTTCGTCGTCAGTTTATTGCATCTATTTTAATTAATCCCTGACAGACGTGATCCCTTGGTGGATCCAGTACGCTTGAGAGGGTTGTTATTCGCCATATGATTTGTATTCTTTATATATATATATATATATATATATATATATATATATATATATATATATATATATATATATATATATATATATATATATATATATATATATATATATATATATAGCTTGGGGAATCTGTCTTTCAAAAGTCTAAATAGTTCGCAAACTCAATATTTAGATCTGTCCTGAATACTAATATTATTATGATTAGCATAGAGGAAGATGTTATTCCTAACTTTCTTTGACTAATAACAGGAAGTAAAAACATGCTGTCAAAAGAGAACATCGGATAGGAAACGTCGGTCGTCCTGTGTGCAATCAATGCAAATGTCTGTTTTCGAAGTGTTAAAAAGTAACAAGCATGTCGTTTGCATTACGCTTGTGTACTATTATTATTCATCAACATTTGTACGTGTAAAGAAGCATGTTGTTTGCATTACGTTTGTGTACTATTAGTATTCATCAACCTTTGTACGTGTAAAGAAGCATGTTGTTTGCATTACGTTTGTGTACTATTAGTATTCATCAACCTTTGTACGTGTAAAGAAGCATGTTGTTTGCATTACGTTTGTGTACTATTAGTATTCATCAACCTTTGTACGTGTAAATGTTCTGCAGGAGACGTCGCAAGAGAAGAATAACCAGCAAATAGCATATAAAGCAAGTTGAAGTCGTCTGTGATATCGTTCACATAAAATTGTCATACTAACAGCCAAATGTGTGAACTATACACCATGTTTACAGACAAGTAATTTGCATTAAATTTCATATTTTAAAGAATAGTCAAGATTATACACTAAAACCTCTGTCAGTATCATTATATATATGGATGCAGAGTTATATGATTAATCAATAAAATTCCAGATACTGATATGTTGCAGTTGCCTAATTTATTCAATAGAATATTGGTCATATGCATATTTGTCCTAATATATGAATGCTGTTTATATGTTGTCCTAATATAGGAATACTGTTTATATGTTGTCATAATATAGGAATACTGTTTATATGTTGTCATAATATAGGAATACTGTTTATATGTTGTCCTAATATAGAAATACTGTTTATATGTTGTCCTAATATAGAAATACTGATCATATGTTGTCCTAATATAGGAATACTGCTTATATGTTGTCATAATATAGGAATACTGTTTATATGTTCTAATATAGGAATACTGTTTATATGTTGTCCTAATATAGGAATACTGTTTATATGTTGTCCTAATATAGGAATACTGCTTATATGTTGTCCTAATATAGGAATACTGTTTATATGTTCTAATATAGGAATACTGTTTATTTGTTGTCCTAATATAGGAACACTGTTTATATGTTGTCCTAATATATGAATACTGTTTATATGTTGTTCTAATATAGGAATAATGTTTATATGTTGTTATAATATAGGAATACTGTTTATATGTTGTCCTAATATACTGTTTATATGTTGTCCTAATATAGGAATACTGTTTATTTGTTGTCCTAATATAAGAATACTGTTTATATGCCGTCGTAATATAGGAATACTGTTTATATGTTCTAATATAGGAATGCTGTTTATATGTTGTCCTAATATATGAATACTGTTTATATTTTGTTCTAATATAGGAATACTGTTTATATGTTGTCCTAATATATGAATATTGTTTATATGTTGTTCTAATATAGGAATAATGTTTATATGTTGTTATAATATAGGAATACTGTTTATATGTTGTCCTAATATATGTTGTCCTAATATAGGAATACTGTTTATATGTTGTCCTAATATAGGAATGCTGTTTATATACACAAAACATATCATTACAGAAAACAATAATTACTGCCGATTTAATTTAATTCACTATTCACTAAAATATTAAAATGTTTCTTAACTTAAATGAGATCAATCACGATCCAGATTAAATGTTATTATTAAGGTGCCAACATGTATACAAAATGCAGATCAAATGATATCTTTATGCTGACAATATGGATGCAGTATGCAGATCAAATGATATCATTATGCTGATAATATGGATGCAGTATGCATATCAAATGATATCTTTATGCTGACAATATGGATGCAGTATGCAGATAAAATATTATTATGCTGACAATATGGATTCAGTATGCAAATAAATGATATCTTTATGCTGACAATATGGATGCAGTATGCAGATCAAATGATATTATTATGCTGGCAATATGAATGCAGTATACAGAGCAAATGATATCATTTGCTGACAATATGGAAGTAATGTGCGGATCAAATGATTTCAGTATGGTGTCAATATGTATTCA